ATCTGGATCTGGATCTGGATCTGAATCTGAATCTAAATCTGAAACTGAATCTAAATCTGGATCTGAATCTGAATCTGGATCAGGATCAGGATCAGGATCTGAATCTGGATCTGAATCTGGATCTGGATCTGAATCTGGATCTGAATCTAAATGTGAATCTGAATCTGAATCTAAATCTGGATCTGAATCTAAATCTGAATCTGAATCTGGATCTGAATCTGAATCTGGATCAGAATCTGAATTGAGGCTCCATGAAAGAACAAATGAGAATCAGCTCCATCAGTGTTTTTGCAGACGGCCCCAGAACAGACTACAGTACCCGTCGTGCCTCTCGGGTGACGTCATGGCGCCGCAGGACGTCACCGGCTCACATGTGTGGTCGGAGCTGCTCGGCGGAGGTTTGTTAGCAACGTCTGGCTAAAGGAGCTAAATGTGGAGGCGACGTCCCTTCAGAAACGGCACATTGGAATAAACATCGGCTGGTTGAACGCAGGTGAACCGGAGCCAACATGCCCCCGAAGAAGCCCGTCCCTGTCGCGGGAAACAAGAAGACCCAGGAGAAGAAGAAGGAAAAGATCATTGAGGTAAACGGAAACTGCACGAGTTAGCATGTCGGCGTTAGCCGGGCAGCTAGCTCGCCGCTCTGTGGCCGAGGCTAACAGCGGAGCTGACGAGTGAACCGTGAAGCCAGAGACGGTTTCTGAGCAGCTGTCACGTGTTTTATAACTTTTATCATCAATCCACTTTCCTCTCGGTAGAAGTTTGAATCAGTGTTAGTTAGCATTTAGCGAGCTAGCAGCTGACAGGAGGCCGAGCTGCTCGCAGGGCCGAGCCGCCACAGAGGCTCTGATCCCCCGGTGAAGCTAACGAGCCTAACGTCTGCGGCTAGAACAAGAAGCGTGGTCTTCACTCAGTGATTCTGGTTTTCTGAAGCAAACCTGGTGGTTTGGTGTCTAGTGAAGGAGCCGGAGCTAAGTGAGGCCTGTTTCTGACCGGCCCTCGGGACACATGAGGGAATTAGCTTCCAGCGCCCGAGTTGACAATGAAGGAAAAAGTTAAGCGTTCAGAAAAGTTTCCTGAGTTGAATCGTCCTCAGGAATCATCAGCTCAGCATCAAACACTCACACCCTCCTGAGAGTGGGAGCACACAGACCTGTCAGCTCTGCACAGGCTCAGGTTGGACTCTATCTAGAAGTATAATCAGGTTTTAATTGAATATAACTACATGGTTAAGTGGAACATGGAGATGAGAGTCTGTACATGTTATTAATTAGTAAGTTTCAAGGAGGAAAATCAACAGGAAGACGGTCACAGCGGACTTATTACAACTTTTGGTCAACTGCTGTGACAGATGTGTATTGGACTCAGTGGATATTCTTATCATGTTATATCAGTGTGACACGAGAGTCATATTCATCCTGCCTTTAAAAAACCATTATGAGCTATCGTGGCTGTACCTTTTATATAAAGTTTGCCCACAGTACTGATGCTACAGAGATCACAAAGTGAGATTTAATGCAGACGTGGTTTTTACTGGACACGAGAGACCACGTAGAATCGCAGCGTTGCATCACACTGGTGCTCCAGCTGTAAATCGCACTGTTTTGTTTCTTAGCACCTGCGATGTCTTTATTCCATGTGCAGCCAAACGAGTCTATGTTGAGACTTTACATTTTAAAAAGCTGATGTCAGAGCACTGATTTATAATCAAGGTCAATGATTCCCTTAAATGTTTAATGTACAGGTCAACTTTAATCTGAGGCTGATCAGACAATGTGGAGGCCTCCGAGCTCTGCGCTGCTATAAATAGATTTCCGCTCATCCTCTGGGTTTTGGTTGGTTTGTAATAACAAATGAGAACAAGTCTTGTTCGGGTGAATCTCTTTGCTTTTGGGTTATTTCTTGGTCAAGTTATGAAACTGATGATTAATTGACCTGTTGTTGTTTCCCCGCCCCCCCTCCCCAGGACAAGACATTTGGCTTGAAGAACAAGAAGGGGGCCAAACAGCAGAAGTTCATCAAGAATGTTACTCAGCAAGTGAAACATGGACAACAGGGTGCAAAGGTTAAAGCAACTCCATCCATTTCTCCACCCCTTCATCCCTTATAGATCATACCTTGTCTAATGTGACTGGAGTGTAATGAGTTTTTAGTCACCTGGTTTGTTGATGTGCGTTCTGCTCTCTGTGCCCAACAATTTATTGCTCATTTAACGTGTGTGTCCGTGTGATATGACCCAGACGGAGGGAGATAAAACCACCAAGAAAGCTGATAAGAAGAAAGATTTGGACGAACTCAACGAGCTGTTTAAACCTGTAGTCGCTGCCCAGAAAGTCAGCAAAGGTAACAAACACACGGCTGTGACACAACATCAACTTATTAACTAATCATACATTGGGTTTTTATTGATTGTTCTTGTGTGTGTTTGTTGAATTTCAACCATCTTCCTGAAAAGATGATCAAAACCCGTTCCCCTCTTCTCTGCAGGTGTCGACCCGAAGTCAGTGCTGTGTGCGTTCTTCAAGCAGGGTCAGTGCACTAAAGGCGACAAATGCAAGTTCAGCCACGACCTGTCGATGGAGAGGAAATGTGAGAAGAGAAGCCTCTACGTGGATGAAAGAGATGAAGACCTCGAGAAAGGTTAGTGCACAGTGTGACTACAGCACCCCTGCCAAGGGCCCCTCACATTCACTGAAGCTGCACCAAATTTCACACAGTCATAGATATCAGCCCCTAAATGTGTCTTTTGTAAATTAAGATCCATGAATTAGTCCCTGGGAAATTTGTGAAAATGTCAAAACACCACCATCCCACAATGTCAGAGAAAGTCATAAAAAGTTATTTTCTTGGCTCGTGTCCCACCCTTCCAAGTTTCGTGGAAATAATTTGAGAAGATTTGGTGTAATTTCAAACAAACTGAAAGAGCTGAAAACGTAACCTCGGGTGGAGAGACGATATTATCAAACATAAGCATGTTTCCTGTCGGCTCGGCTTCTTTTTTCTCTTCATTTCTAATTAAAACCAGTTTGTCAATGGAATTAATTTGTTCATCTTTAGTAAAACGAGAGAACAAGGAAGATCATCATCACTTGTACTTTAAACGCCATTTGAAAATTCAGTATCACCCTGCTGCTAATCCAACCTACCGCTCACTGAGCATGTGGTTTCTGTTGTGTTCTGCTCAGATACGATGGATAACTGGGATGAGAAGAAGCTGGAGGAGGTGGTCAACAAAAAACACGGAGAAGCTGAGAAGAAAAAGTCCAAAACACATATTGTGAGTCTGTTTTAATACTTGAAAACGAACATTAGATAAATAAATTATAGATTTGTATGTAACATGCCGTGCTCTCCGTGTTCTGCAGGTGTGTAAATACTTCTTGGACGCCATAGAGAACAATAAGTACGGATGGTTCTGGATGTGCCCTGGAGGCGGCGGCGAATGCATGTACCGACATGCCCTGCCGCCCGGCTTCGTCCTGAAGAAAGACAAGAAGAAGGAGGAGAAAGAGGAGGAAATTTCGTTGGAAGAACTGGTAGAAAATGAGGTAAAGGAGGCATGAGGCAGAAATTCAATTGGAAAAATAAAACACACAAGTCGTAGAAGTTCTAGAAAAGTTCTCTGCTTAGAAATACTGGAAAGATCATTGGTCAGTTGAAAACAATGTTATACTGGGACAAATGTTAAGAAACACAAACCGTTTATTATTACTGCTCAAACGGTGAAGGGCTACATCACGGCTGCCACCCAGATCTGTCACATGTGGTTTTAATCCTCCATGTGACAACATAACTGTGCTCATGCTGACGTCTGTCTCTCCTCCTGCAGCGAGCAGCTCTGGGTCCCAACGTGACTCGAATCACCCTGGAGACTTTCCTGGCCTGGAAGAAGAGGAAAAGGCAGGAGAAGGTGGGAACCGGTGGAAATCACCTCTTCGTGATTGAATCATGAATCTCTATGTGATGAAATAAAGCGATGTGACTGGCTGCTGTTGTTTCACAGGTGGACAAAGCGAGGGAGGAGATGGAGAAGAAGAAGGCTGACTTCAAGGCTGGAAAATCACTCATAGTAAGTTCTTTGTTTTCTGTCTCTTGAAAAGATTCCTGTTCACGTTTTGTCTCGTGTGATTGACGGCGATATATATATATATTTTTAAATCATTTTCATTCAATGATGGAGGATTTAACCAGATATCCGTATGTGTAGGTGAGTGGACGTGAGGTGTTCGAGTTCCATCCAGAGCTGGTTGACGATGACGATGCTGAGGCCGATGACACTCGATACGCCAGCGACGACGAGGAAGATGATCAGGAAGAGGTGATGATGAAATAGATAGACGTCGAACCAATTCAATTTCTTTTTTACATTGATAAAGATTTCTTGTGTCGTTCTCTGTCTGAACCTGCTGTTTATCTTCTTATTGCAGATTGATACCTCACAGATCCAGGACATAGACTTATCTCGTTTTGTTCCGCAAGAGGTCGACAACACAGGCATTACCGTGGCAGCCACGGACCGTTTCACCTCTCGGAGTAAGCTGGAACCAACAGAAGAGGACACCAGTAAGAAAAATCCCCTTTAAGAGCAAATTAAGTATTTCTGATGCACATATGAACCAACTTTAATCGCTTTCTTCTTTCCTCCGCCGCTCGTGTAGAGGAGCAGCTGAACGAAGCTTGTGGCGGTGCCGAGGCCAATGGTCTTTCGGGCGCAGAGGGGGGAGGGGAGGATGAAGAAGAAGAGGAGGAGGAGGAAGAGGAGGTACCGGTGGATGAGAACCTGTTCACGGGTGAAGACCTGGAGGAGCTTGACGAGGAACTCAACACACTGGCCCTGGAGGACTGAGCGGCAGCGCGTGAGGTGGAGGTTGGGAAGGACTATGTGTCACAGGGACGGACTGATGGATGCATGGAGCTACACAACAAAGAGACCAGATGTTTGAATGATTTTAACATTTCAGAGACTCCAATAATAAAGCCTGATCATATCATGACATCACTGCCCGTCTCCGCCCCGTTTTCTCTATCGCCCCTTTCGCATCCCTCTGCCTCCCAGACGTTCTGTCCACCGGGTGTCCAAATTTTCACAGCAGGGCCAATCAGCATCAACCAGGGCCAACTCCACATGAATGTCGCCTGTGTCCGTTTCTACCATCAGAATTGGGCTGCTGCTGTTGTTGTGCAGTTTCTGTTGCTCGACGTTAAACTGAACTTTTGATGAATGAGGCTTCGAGCACATCTCAAGCTGATCAGATAAATAGTTAATCCGCTGAGTTTGAATATAAGGGTTTGAAAATGAAAGCATCACGACTGAGAGCAAAACAGCTTCAATAAAGTTAGTATCATTACCGATGGATGTCGAGAGAGAGCTCGTGTCAAATGAATCTGTTCACGGCGTCACCGGCTCTCGTACCAAAATAAAAGCTGTAGTTCAAGCACTTTCATTCTAATTCTGGTGGAGATTGTTTTTCCACTAATTGATTTTGCTGAGGTTACAGCTCTTTTGAATTTTTATTTGAAGGAAAAGTTCAGACATAGCTTCTAAACTAGCGGCTGTTTCTTCTGAGAGCAGATTAATGTGATAAACCAAAAGATCCCATCACCATCCTGGTTTGTAAATATTGTTCTCATGAGTTTCCTCCTGAAGAAATAAAAGATTACTGTACATCCAGCATGTGTCTGTGTCTCCTCTTGGATAATGTACAATTACAACACAAGTTATTTATAGTGGTTTGACAGAAACCAACCAGCACTACTTCACTGGTTTGAGGTTATATATATATATATATATACTGTTTTCATTTAGGAAATTAAATCACATGAACACATTTGAAAAGATGAAAATTAACTAATTTAACAGGAACACAGTCGTGTGGTGCCAAATGCCTGCATGTAATGTATAGCAATAAAAAAAAGATTATAGAGATATAAGATATGAAGATTAAAATACTTTGAGTTGTCAGATTCATTATGTCCTTTCACATGAGTCTTATGAAATTCCCTGTTTGCCCAGGTACTGTGATGATGAAGCTGCATATTATCTTACATTGAAACAATGACTATTGAAATAATGATTAAACATTGATTACCTAATGAACAGGAGGAAAAACTACAGCAACTAAAACCTCTAAAGAAACCCTGAAACTAAGCTTTATTTATATTTCACATAATGAAAATCTTGATAAAACAACAGTTAACGGACCAGTTATCCATCAGACGGCTCCAGAAGAAGAGGTGAGACGGACAGGAAGGTGTTTGAAACTAATTTTTATTTGTGTCAAGGCAAAAAGGAAATTTTACACTTGCTCAACATGAGATTACAGTTCATAGCAACAGAGGAAAATTAAGGACCTCTTGGGATAAACTGTCTATATCCAGCTTTACAATACCTGCGTTAAGTTTTCTCAATAACAAAACGTTGCCAAACTAAACGTTTTCTTCTGTGGATTAAAAAAAAAAAGTGGTGCTGCTGTTGCTCTACTGTTCATCAGTTAGTCGAGTTGATCAGACCCAAAGTCGTGGCTGAAACTGTGAACTTAAATTTTAAAAAAGCGTAAAATCCTGACACTGGTGACAAACGACTACTCACACACTGGGAGGTTTACGCTCCCTGTGCTCTTGTTGTATCAGGCTGAGGGGGCAGAGCGGTCGTCCTGCAGCCAGAGGCACCAACTCTAAGTCGCTTTGGATTATGGCGTCAGATAAGTGACATGTAACGTAGAGCAAGGTCAGACAGGTGTCAAAGGTCGTGTCAGGGGTCAGGAGGAGGTCTTGATGTCGGTCGGTCTGTCAGGTCAGGTGTCATTGTGTCATGACAACAGTCGCCTAGGGAACAAGAAGCTGCAGTGTTATTCACAGGAAGAGAAAGAACTCATCGTACTCATTGTACTTTGTATTTCATGTACATCTAACAGCCTCTAATGGAAGAAGAAGTGCTGAGGATAGAGAAGTATATAAATGTAGGGGTGAGGAAAAGCCCTGCTCACAAGCTAACATGCTAACCAGCTTTCTTTGTCACTGTAATGGAGGATTGTAAAAAGGAGGCAATGAGTCTGCATGAGCAGCCAAAGAGAAATAAATTATTAAAGAATAAAAAAGATAGAGTATTGTAAACCTGACTTACAATCTGTCCTCAATGAGTCTCAGGTTAAATCTGTACTTTCATGTTGTTGAGCTCTATCTGATCATAAATCACCCAAAACACATTAATATCAGATGTAACATTGGTACCACATGTCCTGTTACTCATTCTGGTCCCTGAAGCAGTAAACACGGTACTTACCGGTCGTTTCTGTCATGTGGTCTCAGTAGGTACGAGGGCGTTTGTGCGATTCCTCTCTGGGAGGATCAGCCAGCATCACCTTCATCTTCACTCCGTTAACGACCCGACCGTGAAGCGCTGCCATGGCCTCGTCTGCGCACTGAGGGACGGACAGACAGAGGGGAGACGAGCGGGATTCATTCAGAGAGACAAACTTAACACGAGCCTGGTTCATTAAAAAAAAAAAAAATCAGATAATTTTCATTTCAACATATCGAGACACAGACACAGAAAGAACAGGTGCTGGTCTGTGTTTAACAAGTTATCCTCAAAGTTAAAGCACAATGCTTCCTTCATGAAGTTCTTCATGTCTTTCTCTGGTTTGTCTTCAGCTTCAGTCCTGACTCTCACCTGTTTCTCTGCGTACTTCATGTATCCAACTTTCCTTCCTGGAACCAAATGGACCTCGATCAGGGAACCAAAGCGACTGTAGTGACAGACGGAGAGACGCCATGGGAAGAAACAACATTTAATTGAACTGCAGGAACATTTGTTAATGCTGATTGTCTGCTGCGTCATTTGAGAGCACTTAGCCTGATGCCCCCGACAAATCTGCGCTGACTGTGCTTAAGAGTTGTGATCGATTGAACCTTTGACCCTCTGGTTAATGGACCATCATTCTGAGCATTGGGTGGCGTATATATACACAAGATGTAATTTTACTGATGAGCAAATAGTTCAAATTAACAGACAACGCAGGACGAACTGACCAGAAAACGTCCTCCAGCACATCCGGGGGCAGCTGGGAGGGGGAGAACACGACAAACAAGCGCTCCTTGGTTTTGCTGTCAGGTGGAGCGAGCTTCTTCGGCGGGGGCAAGTTGACGTCTGTCTGAACCCGAGACATTGTAGAGACGGCAGAGAAACCCTGGAGGACACAAAAGAAACCCCACCAACTTTAATATGTTTTATTTTTTATACCTGATGGTATAAAACATCCAAGGTTAAGTATGTGTGTAATTACCAACTTTATTTCATCAATTATTCACCCTGCAAAATGTCATAAGTGTCAGAGGCCTGGGGGAATAATTACCCAGAACAGTAATTAACTTTGAAATGTTGTTTACAGGGTGAGCCGTTTTCTGAAGTTTTGATTTTGTCCCGAAGGAAAATAAAATATAAAATTTTTCAGATTGAAAAAATTGCACAGGCAGTTTTTTTTTTGTTAATTCCTGTGGAGCGGGTTCAATAAATGTCTGAAATACAAGAGCAATGAGCAGAAACCTCATTTTCTTTCATTAAAAAAAGCTTTTAGAGGAGTTTGTGAGTGTTAATCTTACGCAAAGACGATGCAAGTGACAAATGAAAAAGTGGGAAAATGACTCAAAGTGACGAGCGGGTCGATCTAAACGAGTTGATAACTCAGGCATTGATTTCCTGAACTTACAGGAGGTTTCATCACTTGACTGTTGGAGGGTCCGTTCCACACTGAAGACATCATCTGTGCTGCGACAAACTGCATCGCCATCCGACCTACAGGACTACACACAGAACACACACAAGAACACACACAGAAACAAACACAGAAACACACACACTGTTTCACTATGTGTCCACATTTTGCAGCTCAAAGATTGTTTGTTGTTATGGTCATTTTAAATCTTTGGAGAACTAACAGCGGTCAACTCTGACATTTTTGGTCCCAGTTCTTTAATTAATGGATATATTAACTTTGAAGGACACTTCTGCTTCATGCCTCCATTAACGTCTGGTCCTGTGTATTGAGTAGATACATGTGTAGTGTGTGCGTGTGTGTGTGTGTGTACCTGCTGCGGTCCTCTCCATCATCGACGAAGTTTACCACCAGTCTGTTTCCAGGTGGATATTCAAATCCATTCAGCTTCTCTTTGGCATAAACTGCTGATCCCAAGTTACTGTAACGAATCAGTGCGTGACCTGAGAGCGCAGGAAGCAGACAAACAGCCGAAAGCATAGATTATAAAATATGTAGCTTATTCTTTCAATTCAAAAATCAACAATTTGAACACGTCAACAATCACAGATGAGATGAATTACAAACTACAGTAAAACAATTCTGCATTTATCAAAAAGATTTTCCACACTGGGTCCAGGTAGCAGCTTCTGCCAGAGATTTTGCCTGTATCCTGCTGTGTTCTGTAACTAACTTAGAGGGAATCATGAGACCCAACAACAAAACTTTTTTAAGACTGCTAGTTAAAATACACATCAGGTTTATTTTAAATCCCTTAAACAGTATTAGATCACTAACCTTTGCTCATTCCATAAGCGTCTCTCTGTAGCTCGCAGTACTCCATACCAGGAATGATGTCGAACAGTGGAAAGATCTGCTCCTGTGTAAGTGCGGCCCGCGTTGAAATCATCAGACTCCGCGTGAAGTCACCGGAGCGGAAGTCCATGGCCTGGTAGTTCCCAGGGTCACCTGTAGAGGGACAAACATCAACTTTATCAACACTACGGAAGCTGGAAGATATCGAATATATGTTATATAACTGACTTCCTGCCTCCCTCCACACACTTCACCCTGCACATGGTGCTTTGCTGCCACCTACAGATAAGTGGGATCCTGTGAAACCACTGGCAGGAAGACAGGGACACACTAACTGGGCCAGTGTCTCTGTCTGAAATGCTTGTCAGATGGTTGGATCGCTTTGGAATCCACCTCATCCTGGATTGACTAAACTTCTTGTCACAAACCCTGATAACCAGTTCTAACAATTCTGATACACAGTTCACACATAATACAGGAAGAAAGAAACAACCACTTAAAGAATCAGAATAGAAAAGTCTGATGACAGTTGTGTTATTGTTCTAAAAATCTGATTTGAGTGTCAGTGCTGTGTTTATTTCCTAGTGTAAAGAGCTGAAACACCTAAACACAAATATGACAGAACAAGCACCGACAAAAAGCGTTTACCCATTGGGACGGGGTACTGGTTCATGGTGTCATTACCGCCCATGTAATCCCCTCTGCTGGATCCCCCACTGTAATCCTCTGACGCTGTAGCCTTGGTGCGAGGTTCAGCCAGGATCGCCCTGTAAGCTAATAATCACAGTAATGAGAAACATGTGGTTTAGAGAGATTTAAATACAGAGAGGGACGATCATACCTGGAAACTCAGTAAACATTCTGTTACATGTTTCTTAGACATCTCAGTAAATGTCCTGCTACTGTTTCTTCTGCAAATAATGAAAGGAGTCACACCTTTGTCACAGTTCTCTATGGCATGTGCAGCTTGGGAGGGTTTGTAGTATCTCACGTAGCCCAACCCTTTACTTTCCCCAGTGAACTTGTTCTTGATGATCACGCAATACTCAATATCACCATAGTCCTGAAAAGACAAACAGAGAGGGCAGTTATAGCCTAACCCCATTTAATGTTCTAGAATCACCTGCTGTCCTTCATATGTGAAAGACAAACTCTGGAAATACTTTTCTTTAGTTCATGTCTGGAAACAGCTAATGACAGCGATGAGGCACAGAACAAGTAAGTTGAGAGGGAGGTGTCGTTACTTTGAATGTGTCTTTGAGGTCCTCCTCTGTGAAGGTTTTAGGGATCATGACGAAGATCCTGGTCAGCTCTTCATCCTCAACATCTCTGTGTCTTGTTGATGACCGTGACTGGGCAATGAATACCTGAATGACCAGAAAAGAAGAAACAAAACCAGTACAAACATTTGGTAACAAGTTTAAAAGGGAAAACATTAAGACCTTCACAGTGAGACAACAATGAATTAAGGATTTTCAAACAATTACATGATTTATTTGTTGTCCAACCTGGATTTCTAACATTTAAATCAAGTTTTGATTTGACGCTTAAAATTTAACTTGAACACCTTTAATTTGTATTCATTCATTTCAGCTATGGATTTTGTGAGGTACATTGCACTCTTGTTTAGATATGTGTTATACAAATAAAGTTATTATATATTATATTAAGCAGGAGAGAACGATTTAACAAGCAACTTTTACTTCTCTCTTAGTTTACATGTCTTTGCTTGTCTGCTTCTGATACTCAGACACCAGAATGGAAGATAATAAATCTGCAGTAACTCAGACACACAGGACTTTCTCCACTGTTCTGGTTCATCGAGATAATCCACATTCCCGAGCTGTGGCTCTCGGGGACTGTTTGAAGTTTCAGGGGGTCACTGGACAAACGAGAAACCCTGGGACCCAGTTTCTACTAAAAACAAGTCGTTAGAGGAGTTTTCATCAGAATCTAAATCCACCTTCACACCAACACACACACGTAATCTAAACACGCCAGTAGATTATACGTGAACACGTGGGATTAAGAGTGAACTCACACTTCGAACACAGCTTCCTCTCTGCAGCACAGCTAGCCTAACATGCTAACGAGCTGCTCTCCATGGGTTTTAACGGAGATTTAAAATATTTTTTTTTTTAAACCATTAGCATCCCACTGCTTTAATCCACAGTGTCCGGTACCTTGACGGGTTTCGACGACTCCGCCAGCTGCTTCCCGTGCATCTCCTCCATGGCCAGACAGGCCTGCGAGGACTTGGCGAACTTGACGTAGCAGATGCCTTTGGACTCCTTGGTCTGTTTGTCCTTCACGACCCAGACCCCCTGGATGTCCCCGAACACGGAGAACGCGTCCCGCAGCGCTTCCTCCGTCATGGAGCGGCTTGTGACGACGAACAGGCGGCTGTTGGGAGGGTCGTCCAGGTTCTCGGTGGCTTGTTTGGTCGGGTACTCCTCCATGTTTGTTTCCTGTCTGAACTCGGTGCAGCCGCGGCTGTCGGTGCTGCCTTTAACTGCTCCCCGGCACTTCCTGTTTCCTGTTGTCGGCGATTCAATTTAACAATCATCAGAAACAACCAGGGGAAAAAAACCTAAAGCGGGTTTTAATCACTCAGTTGTTATTTTTTATTTATTTATATCGTTTGTGGTTAATATTAAGTCAACACACTCAATAGTTAGAGCTGAAAAACTGCAAAGAGAGGGAACGTTTACTGCCATCTAGTGTCTGGGAGTACTCAATGCACAAGGATGCTTCGGAGAAGATACATACATTTGATGTTTAACAGATTAACTTTATTATAAATAACTTTATTTACACACATTCAACCCAATATGTAGGACTTGAATTAAGAAAATGATTTGTTTGTGAATATAAATACAGATCTTTTAAAATGAACACATAAACACTGATGTTTCTATGATTAAATCACCAACTAAAGCAACCAGACTCTCATTAAAATAGAATACAATAAGCCGAGACGAAAATAAAACCTACTGAAGAAAAATGATTTAAATCAGAATCAGTATCTGGGTTTATTGTCGAGTAGGTTAACACATACAAGGAATTTGCTGCGTTATGTTTGAGCATAAACACAACATATCGGGTGAATTCTGGTAACCTGGGACATTTGTGCAATTTTGACTTCTGCGACATATTCCAATATTTGTTTTGGACATTAGATCAACATATCATACGTTTCTGTAATCCTTAAGATGTTTACTGACCACACCAGAAGATAGAATGCAGATATCATTCTCAGACAGGGCAAAGCTTTTAGTGTTCTCTGTACCAAAAAAGAAAATTCTGTCTGAATCAAATAATCTTGGACAGGTCACTTTGTAAACTGGGACACATATATCAGGGTTTTAAAAAAAGGTCTCCATTACCTTCCTTTATGCATGTCAAGGTCAATAAGTAACATTGTCTTATTTATGAAAGATTTTTATCCTCAACATTAATCTCGTCACAATCTTATGTCATTGACCTTGTCATGCAGAGCCAAGGGGCGGGACTTCTGATTGATACTTGCCCTGCCCGCTTCTGTGACATCACCACATTGATTTCAGTCACATGATACTAAACTATAGTCAAAGTTCTGTCGACTAGATTTTGTTCAACCAGGAAATACACTAGACTAAAGCTTAGGTGTCCCACAATATTAACCAATGTCCCACATTACCCAAATTCACCCAAATAAATAAATACAAACATATAAAACTATTGAACAGTGTAAAAAATATAAACACAATGTGCTCTTTAGACGACAGGTATGCACATTTGACGTATGTACAGTATGATTGTCATTTGTCACTGTTACTAGGGAAGCTCAAGTTTCACGGTTCATGTGAGGACATTTATCATCAGAGTCTTGTGACTTGTTTGTTATGAGGGTACTTCACCTATAAATATTCATGTGAAAGATGATGTATTCCACTAATAGAACAGTAACTATGGTCTTATTGTATAATTGTACAAATATTGTATTTAAGCACATCCTTTACTCAACTGAAACTAAACTGGAGGAGCACTGTCAATCTGAGTGTATCCTGCACAATGACAATAAAGCTTTCTATTCTATTCTATCTCCAGACTCTGTGAAATATATAGAATAAAAGAAACTGTTGAACTAAAGATTGTGTACACTTTCATATTTTTCATAATACCAGTTACAAAAGCTTAAAGTATTCACGTGCGTCCTTATAAGGCCACTTCAGCAGGTGTCCTTTGCTTCTCAATGGAAGCTGGTCACGCGACGAGAAGCGGGGACGCGTCCCAAAACACGCATGGCACCTTCTCCCCTAGCTCCTAGCTCCCTAACTCCTCTCCCTCAGAGCTAGGAAGGAAACACGAGGTTCAGTGATTTGACTTTGACACGTGCACTCGAGGGTTAAATCTCCTGGAGTTCATTGATCCGCTCATTAAATTAATATAAAGAGAGAGAGAGAGAGAGAGAGAGAGAGAGAGAGAGAGAGAGAAGGGAACGAGTCTTCACAGAATTGAGACGCGGTGACTACGTGCTCTACGTCACGGTGCAGAGGAGAGCGCGCGGCACGTGACCGGCGGATGACGTCATGAGCCGGTGAGCGTAAAGCGCAGTGACCTTCTTTACGACCGTCACACGGAGAGAGGAGCCGCACAGAGGAGCCGCCGTTCGACCCCGGAGCCTGTTCACCGACACCGAGTCTAACTCACAGGTGAGCTCCTCGTCCTCCTCTCCGGCTGCCGGCGGAGGGTTTGTGACTTTCACGCCCGGAAACGATGCTGGAGCGCCGCAGTGGGAGCTAACGGCCATGTTGGGGAATAGCTCGGTTGCTCCGTTTGCGCTCCGAGCTCGTTATCTAATTGAGTCGTTGTTGTTCTTCTCCTCCTCCTCCTCCTCCTCCTCGGGGTTTGTGTGTTTAAACCTAGTTCAACTTATTTGTCCTCTCGGACGCGGTGAAGCTGAAGCAGGAGCGACATCCACACCCCGTCATTGAGGCATCCTTGACCCCGGGATGGGTGACACATCCCCCGGCTAACGGCGGCGGGTTTCTAAGCTAGCTTCCCCTCCCCCCCCCCACCTCCAGACTCGTTAGCCGCGTCGAACAGAAACCGTGTAGAACCACGTGTGTGAATCAGAGTTCGGTGACAGCTGCTGTCAGTCAGCGAGGAGGAGAAGCTGTGTGCCCTTGGTGCAGGAGCAGCCCGCCATGTTAAGACGGAGAGGAGGAGGAGGAGCGCGGGGGGGCTCATGGTGGTGCTTTCCTACTCTGACGTTAGCTCTGTGCTTGCTAGCAGCTCCGTGGCTGCTTCAGTGTGAATGAAGACATGTTTAAAAACACGTCTTCTGCATGTGAAACGTGTCGTGAACGGGTTTCAGACGCAGGGCTCCTCTCGTGTCGTGTGTCACGTCCTCCTGCAGCGGGTGAGGTCGAGAGAAGACAGACACTCAGGTGGTGTTGAGCCTAAAACCGGTACCCCTGCTAAAACGGTCCCTCTTATGTAATTCATCACCCATCTGAACTCCCCAACTACATTTTTCTCTTTTCTTTTCTATGTATTTTACATTGTGAGTGTAGATGGAGGACAAGCTGACGTAGTGCAGGCTCATTACATAGCGGATGAGTCATACTTAAGGTTACGTGAGGACAGACTATGCAGGGGGAGCATGTTTTACTGTAACACTCATATCACTGACATGACTCCTTTTAAACTTGTGTGTTAGCTGCTCATTACACGTATTCCCTCTTTTTAAATCTGTTATCCACTCGAGCATTTTTTCTTTGTGCAGGTAAGAAGGTAAGGGTGTTGTCCCTTTCTTTGAAACGACCTCTGCCTGATGCCAACCAGCTCAAAGGTTAAAGTCAGGATTGTTTGAAAGTAAAGAGAGTGGAGCTACAGGTGCAGATAAAGTCTTCACCTCAAACGACCTTCACAGCGAGGCCTCGGTCAAACTGCAGCAGTGGAGGAGCTTCCTGTCTCATCCAGGCTCTATGAATAATAGACGCACACTTTTCATTTCTGCTTTTTAATCTTTTTAATCTTTCTGTTTCCATCCAGCTGACAATGGGAGACATTGCCAAGGGAAAGAAGGCTTTCGTCCAGAAGTGTGCTCAGTGCCACACAGTAGAGAACGGGGGCAAGCACAAGGTTGGCCCCAACCTCTGGGGTCTGTTCGGACGCAAGACCGGCCAGGCAGAGGGCTACTCGTACACAGATGCCAACAAGAGTAAAGGTCAGTTCACACGAATAACCCACTTATCTCCTGGAAACGGAGCGAGTGAAGAGGAGGAAGGCATCGTCTGAAATTGGCTTAAAGATTTTTTTAATTTGCTGTGAATTAATGAAAACTACTAACTATGGAACATCTCTAAAATACCTTTATGATGAAGTTAGCTCATCAAGTAGTCAGTATTTTATTAACTATTAATTGATAATCTATAATTAAGTCTTTTAAGCAACATGTGACATTTGTTGTTTGTAGCAGCTCAAAGATGAGGCATGATAGTGAATTGTTTTTCAAACACAGCACTTGACGATTTATATTTATATATTTATATTCACCAATGAGAAGCTGAACCTAATTAATGTTTGCCATGTTAGATGCTAAATGTTACCTGATTACTTTTAGTTACAAACTTTGTTGTTTAAAGTCCTGCTCTTAGATCTTTCATTTCTGCACTGACGTTATCAGTTTGTACTCGTTTGCTTTAAAAGTGCCAATTAGTTGAACTTCCACCACTGATATCTGTTTCCTCCTCACTTCGAGCTCTGGTCTCTCTTAGTTAAATCTCTCTGATCTCTTAGATCACAAAAATGCCACAGGAAGTCATTCCTGTCTGTGCCCATCCTACTTTACAATTCCTCCCAGTCAACAGACTGGACTCATTACAAGCTTATCCATTTGCACTAAATATTCAATGAACAGTACTCACCATATATTGTATATATTTCATATTTTATTTTTATATGCTATATTTTTATCTTTTACTTGGAGCAATTGTAACAAACACAATTTCCCCCCTGATATCAATAAAGTATTCTGATTCTGGTTACCCTGAATGAATAATTTATCCCGTTCCTGGTCATCACTGATTGTCCGTCTTTCTCCAGGTATCGTGTGGGGCGAAGAGACCTTGATGCAGTACCTGGAAAACCCCAAGAAGTACATTCCTGGAACCAAAATGATCTTCGCTGGCATCAAGAAGAAAGGAGAGCGCCAGGACCTCGTTGCATACCTGAAATCTGCGACGTCATGAACCAGTCACAAAAATCAGAATATTTAATGCCATTTTAATGTCTTTTTGTTCATTTGTAGGCCTGCCCATGGTTGAAAAATGGTTTTATGTTGTGTCATTTGCAATAACCTATTTTATGTTGTGTACAGTTAGAAAAGTGGGACTTCCTGTTAGCCAGTGAATTCACAACAGGTGTTAATTGTTCAAGTGACAAAACATAAAACTTTTCTTGTTTTTATTTTATTTTCTGTGTGAATCGAAGCTTAACTTAAAACTAATTATTAACTATTTAAATTTGCTAGCTAAGATCAGTCGCCTGGTCTGTCTCTCATTCTGTTTGCCATGAAATGATATATATGTTACTTTCATGCGAGCAGAGCCATCCCCCACCATACTCAATTTTTGAAACTCACAAATCATCTAAGATTATCATCAGAGTGATAAAGAGAGGGAAACTTGAGGTTTTGTTGCTAAACTGGTGCTGACACTTGTTCTACCCCCCCTGTATTCGTGGTAGGTGGAGTTTCCGACCTTTTACAATGACCGAATGAATTTTATCAGTTCTGTCTCTCCTTAAACCGCAGCTGTCAGAAACTCCCACTTGCCATGAATTCTCCCCAGATTCCAAGGATTCAACATTTTATCCCCTAGAAGATGAAACTATTTACAGCTAAGAATTGTAGAATATAAATGCTGTGTATATTGATTTCTTTAAAACCACCCCCACAGTGCTGCGATACCTGCTGTGTGAAATCAGCCGGCATACGATCACCGTGCCGAACAAATGTTGTGGAGCTACTGTGTTCTATTGGAAAAGTCAACATCCAGAGCGAAGGAAGGATTTTGTTATTTACCTGGTTTCACAGGCCTGAAGGAAATTGTTTTAACTTATTTTACTGTAACCTGACAGACCTGAATATGTAAAGTATTTTAATGAGGTTGCTTCCTGTCAGTGTACGCACAGCAATATACTGTATATGCACATACACTATATGACCATGTGGTAGTGATTTTGTGTGGCTGTGGAAAGGATGGATGGAGGATCAATTAAATGCAGACGTTCAGAAATGCGAACACGACTGGTTGAGTTTTTGTTTGTGTAAATATTTTAAATAGTCAGATTCAGTTAATAACATTAATATTTCTCTGCATCTTTTAACCGATGTTTGTATTTATTGGGGAAACACAAAGTGCTGAGTATCTGTGAGGGAGGTTCTGTTTTCGTCTGTTTGACAGTTAGCAGCACTATGCACAAACTGCTCCGCCGATTGTCATGACATTTTGTGGAGGGGTCGGACATAACCCGAAGAAAAAAACATTAAATGTTGGTGAGGATCCAGGTTTTTTAAGCTTTCTTAAATGTTGCAAAATTTGGTAGTTTTTCTATATTTTTGTTGATTTCCTAGAGAACCAGAATGGTGCTCAGAGACCCCCCCTCAAGAAATCACATCATGTTTTTTTTCAGTGTTAGGAGGTAAAACTGATCCTCTAACGTCTGTTTTCAGGACAAAACACTTTAAAGTCTTCATTGCTTCCGGTTTAAAAACACTTTGAGTCTCGCTCGCTGCTGCGTCCTGGATATTTTCTGCCCTCATGTGTAAACGTAGTCAATGTGGAGCAGATTTCATCACCTGAGGCTGACGGGTCAAACAGCCACTCCAGGTCGCGTAGTGATATAGTGGCAGTGTTACATAATCGTCCTCTGCTGCTCGTGAAGTCTTTCTAGGAAGTGAAGCGGCTGAGGGCAGCTCAGGCCTCGTGCTCGTGTCACGTTTGCCTTCGATCAAAGTCCGGTCAGCAGACCTGTTGAGACCTGAATCTGCGTCTCTAACAACACACAGCTGAGGACATGAAGTTATCTGTGCTGGAAACTCGTGGAATTTAACGACAATACATAACATGGGGACATTTATAGAAAGTGACACATACCAAAACCTTAACCGTCCCAAATATATACCCGCACCTTGACCTGATTCTAACCTGAACCTTGAAACATCAGTCAGTCCATACATGTCGTCACCACTTGGTCAAAATGTCCTCACAACGATGGTTACATACCAAAGTTTGAGAGACAAGTACGAACACATGCGCATGTGCAAACCGTGAGATATAAATACAGCTGACATATGATCCTGAAACATGTCTGAATGATAAACAGGTGTGTGCGTGTGTGTGCAGTCACATGACACAGTTTGCATTGACAACACAGACCTCAGTATGTGTTTGAGGTCTTCTGAGGTATAAACAGAATATACTATATACTAGAGAGAGAGAGATATACTACGTGTTGATCCTGGATCTTGGAGGGTTGCAATAATATATTTGGCCACAAGAGAGAACTGTTGTCCTCAGTATAGTTGAGTTTTTGACATTTAGTGGATCCTGTTTTTCAGCCACTGCAGCACAGAGCACACGTTTTCATTGAATCTTTAATCTCACTGAGGTACTTGTTCAAAAATTCCTCATTCAATTACGAAGTTGGAGATTGTTGTCTTTCAAATGTCCTCTTGCAAATGTCCTCATTAATCTGATCAACTTCAGTTCTAAGTTAAAACCTTTCCAAATATGCTCATCCTGGTCATCGCCATCTCTTTTTGTTCTTTTCTACTGCAGTCACACAACTAAATATAAATACAGATTTGAAGATAAATAAATGAAACAATACAGAAGTTGTGCATTAGACTAACACAGCCTGTAAAATATGGTTCAACACACACACGCGTATTTATACGCTTGTCACTATGTAATTGATTTTCTGATTTGATTTACTTTGAGGTCTAATTTATTAAACATATTAAAAAATTATAAAGCTCATTTCTCAGACAAACAACACGAGTGTGTGTCTGAACGTGGCTGAGAAAGAATCCAGAAAAAAAAACAAAAACCTCCAGTGCTTCAGTTTCCAAACATTCCTGATATTTTCAGATGATCTCATTGGGGAAAACTTCACCGTGGGAACCAGGCAGGATTTATTTTTATTATTTCCCAGAATGACTTTGTCCAACTCTTCATTTACACACGCCATCACTGAAGTTCCCTGTCACCATGGCAACCACTGGACTGAATCACCTGACTGTAAAAACAACAGGAAGTGAGTTAGCAGGTGCTTTTGGCTTTTTAAACGCGCAGCAGAGGCGGACGCGCTTCTTGCGGAGGACGTGGAGGTTTGTCATTTAGCTTCCTCACTCGGTCAAATCTCAACGCACAGACGTGCTACACACATATTTACATTCAGGGGGAGTCACGCGTCGTTTTCTCCGATGTCCGTTGCGAGTAAATGCGCAAGAAACCCGCGTAGAAGTCGTAGAAAGTAGACCTTACTTGAGACCCCCCGAACCTGCCTGTGAATTACCAGATTTTAAAGTTCTCTTCGGCATTACGTTAATACTCTGCTAGTTGTAAGCTCAAACAATAGTATTTTAAAAACAGCAACTGCTTGTGGAAAATTCGGCTAAGTTAATAATGTACTTTATCGATTATATAAAGCTAGTAATGGCTAAACTCGATCGTATGAACAGTGCATTTCTGTGTTTACAATGATAAACAGAGACAGAATGAACAAACAGGGTTTTTTTGTATTATTTTATCTGCAAAGCTTTTTTATACATAAACACATTCTCATTATTTGAGTTGAATAATAAATATAAAACCACAATATAGGAAATTAAAACGATTTGAAGTCAGGATTCATAGTAATAAACATCAGATTTGTAAATATTGCAATATGAAAACCCTCATTTCAGACTGTAGATTGTAGTTTCCTGTTCTTCAGTGATGTCCAGGGACCTTATGAGAAATAGTACAGTCAAGTAGAAATTCACTGTCATCATCACAACTGTCACAAAACGTCGTAGCACACAAGAGGAAGTCAAACATCTCTTTAAAACTGAATGAAAGTTATTGTTCGATGATTCATATCCACTGAAAAATGATAATACTACAGTTAAACCTTGTGGAAATGATGATAAATCTCTTCTGTGAAGGTGAAAAGTAAATCAATCAGATTTAACCAAACAGCCGAGAAATAACTGTTTGATTTACAACATCAGCAATGACTCTGGAAAATCCTTTAACATTTAATAGGTTTCACTTGAACTGTGATGAGTAATAACTCAAATTCAAGATCATTAAGATATCTTTAATATCTTTAAATGCAGAATTATCTTATCTTCATCATATCTTTTTTAACATAACTTGTTCACAAGCTAAAGAAAAATCTCCTGTCGTGACTTTAGGAGCCTCATAATATGAAGCGCTCTGTCAAGAAGCCTTTGTCGTAAATCATATGATTCTTCTCAGGAAACTTTCTTCCTGGAGTATTTTTAAAGGTCAAGTCATGTGTGTGTGTGTGTGATATACATATTTAAAACATGAGTCTTCAGATTCAGTCGCTCGCGCTCGTGAAGATTACGACAGAGACGTCACTTGTGTGTTTCCCAATGACGACATTTGAGTAAAGAAGGAGGAATCCTGTCCATCCAGGATCTCACCCAGTTGATGTTCTCGTCAGATTGTCCACGTTGTCTGTCTGTGCACATCGTTAGAAACAATCTTTACGTGTCTTTTGTTAAACGTCTGCAGATTTCTGTTAGTTTTCAGGTTTGTTTCGGACTTGAATCGCAGCACGAGGTCCGATAGTCTCAGAGTGAAGTCTCACTCATCTGAGCGACAAAGCAGAAACACACAGACTTAATGTTCACGGTAAACAGGAAGGTTCTGACTCTTCCAGCTGTTCTGTATGAGAAGCTAGTGTATGGCGAGCGTGGTAGCAGGTTTCAAATATATCTGTTGGTTTATGAGAAGTTGAATTTGTCTGTTTCTGTTTTCTAAACCGAGAGGTCGTCCGCTCTCGTCCGGCTGCTTGTTCCGCTGGTTTTACTGAATCTGCGAGGGCAGCTCATGTCCCTGCTCCCGGGGCTGTAGCAGTCAGTGTCGGCCCTCAGGTATCCTCCATCTTGGCTCTGAGTTTTACTCGCCGGCTGCCACCCGGGAGAGTAGCAGCTCATCTGGAGCATGTTCACCTCCTCCACCGCGGCAGCGATTTTGTTCTTCTCCGTGGCCATGTTCTCCGAGTTTTGTTGGTTAGCCAGGCGGTGTGTTGGGAAGGGCAGCGGCAGGAAGTGAGAGGAGCCAATCATACACTGGGTGAAGTCTGGAAGAGGGGTGGACGGCGGTGGAGGAGACAGAGAGAGCTGCTGGGCCAGAGAGGTTTTAGCTGGAGTGATGGCCTTCCTCGTGAAGCGCAACCGCCTAAAACACAGAGTTTGAGCCTTTTTAGTTGAAAGATACAGATTGAATCAAGACGTCATAGTGTATTTAAGAACAACTGTGTGATGTGCTCCTGCAGAACTAGTTAAAATCAATATACCTATTTGTTCGATGTTCTCTGTCGGTCCTCCCTGCTCGTGACACAGGCGTTCTGTTCTGAGTTTATGTCTTCAAGCCCAAATCTAAGATAACCCTGATTACATCATCAGATTTACTTTATCTGACTTAAAAAGATCTGCCAGCGACACACACATCCACTTGTACTTCTCATGTTGTGTAATACAAAGACTGACTTCATGCTTCTGTTACTGAATGCATAACCTTACAGGGCCCATGACTTCTCGGGGCCACAGTCTGAAAAAAAAACACACACGTGGGCACAACACAACAACAGAGTGAAGTGATGCCACTGTTTACTTCCATATTGCCTAAGTTGTGTAACGTTGAGAAAACGTCCTCGCTAACAATGTTTTCATCGGTTACTGACTCACAAAAGACTTGTGTGCCCTCAGTGGTTTGTGAGTGTGTGAGTGTGTGAGTGTGTGAGTACACAACGCTCCTACCTGCAGCAGTGTCTCCACGCCAGGTGATGCAGCTCCAGCACGCTGAGGACCAGAGAGACGGCCGACACAGCCAGCATGAACACGATGAAGACGTTCTTCTCTGTCGGTCTGGACACGTAACAGTTCACGGGGTGTGGACACGGCCACGCCTGAGAGAGAGAGGAGGGGAGGGAGAGAGGGAGGGAGGGAGGGAGGGAGGGAGGAGTGAGTGACGGCTTAAATGTGTTTTTATCATGGAATTAAATCGAACTGATTCAGGTTTGTGTTTTTACCTTGCAGACATACAGGGGATTGAGAAAGATTCCATACAGGAAGTACTGGAGACACAGAAACACCACCTGGGTGGAGAACAGTCACAGTGAGTTCTGATCCATGAGAAGTAGAAATACACAGCTCTTCCATAGTTAAATACTATCATAGTAAATCATGCAGTGTGATATATTTTCATATTAGGCCACAGAAGGCAATTCTTCAACAAGCATCTATAAAGACATTGAAAGCAGAATTCGTCACTTTACACTGAATTAAGCTTAATATGTAAACCAATTAATTATTATTATATATAATTGATTTTATCGTAATTTTATTTCTGCAACAACATTATTTGATTAAGTAATTAAAGACTAACTGCATTTCTATGGTGGTTTATTGTTTATCTATGGCAGAAGGAAAAAAGAGACAGTGTTCGGTGACTAAAGGAATAAAGTTTGATGCTGAGAGTTTATGAAAGATATGTCTGTAATCAGCTGATAATTTCAAACGTCTCTTTTTAAAACTTTAAAATTGAACCTTGTTGGTGTTTTATGAGGAAAAAAGTGCAGTCGGGAGGTTTTTCTTAGACGTCACACACAATATAAACATAACTGGAATGTGTTTTAGAAGAAAACTTTGACAAGGCACATTTAAAACCTCATTAATTATTATTTGTATCCATTTGTGGACAGAAAACTCACAACAATGACCTAGAAGAGTCTTAAAAGCTCCTCAGATAAAGTAGTAATAAGTAATATTTACCTCCATGACGCTTCGTATCAGTATACTCAGTATGTACGTCTGTAGCAGCGCTCCCCTCAGACGAACTCGACCCGCCAATGGACCGTCTCTTTTGTCCTCCTCTTCTTCCTTCTCTACTCGACCCCTCTGTTTCTCTCCTCCTCCTCCTCCTCCTCCTTCACCTCCTCCCGGGTCTTCGTCTCCATCACTTTCATCTTCCTCCTCCTCCGCCCTGCTCCTCCTCTTCTCCTCTCTGCGGACAGTGTGCATAGCGTGGCCCATGTAGATGAGACTGGGAGTGGACACAAACACGATCTGGAGCACCTGGGAGGAGATCAACCACATTTACAATTGACACCAAAATTAAAGGAACAACCCAACCTTAGTGCATGAGGTTATTAACTATAATCCCCATGTAGTTCACATTAATGGGAACTATTTTCTATTGTTCCAGGGGGACAGTGAGTTTAGTTCAATGTCTTAGCTGCAGGTTTAACTCAGAAATGATCAGAAACCAGTGGCTGCAGGAAAGGAAGCAAATGAATCTTAAAACTAATGTTATACAAGTCCAACAGAACACACTGTACACGTCAACAACCAATATTTCTACTGGGATGAAGTCAAGATATCCACAAACATGAATAAAGCACGCGGCACTGGAGACGATGTATTTTAAATTTGAGTTAATTGTTGTCCACACTGGCCTGAATCTCTGTCTGTTGTTCACAAGAATGGACGAACAACCGGGAAACAAAAAGCCACTGGCAGAGACTGACATTAGGTCGTGTAGTAAATTACCCAGTATCGTATGTGCGCAATAGGGAACGCTCGGTCGTAACAGACGTTCTCGCAGCCGGGCTGTTCAGTGTCGCAGTTGAAATCCTCCTGTTCATCTCCCCAAGACGACTCAGCGGCCGTCCCCAGTACCAGGATGCGGAAGATAAACAGGATGGTCAGCCACACCTGCGGAGACGAGACTCTTATCAAGCTGTCACATCAGAGAATATGGGATAGAAGATCATTCTAATTTGAAGGATCTAACTTTATACAGGAAGTTTTAAATTAAGCTCAGAAAAAGTTGAGCATATTTTGCTTTGATTTAAAAAGATTACCCTTCTTTCAGAGAAGTCAGAGCGACTCTACTGACTCTTTGCTCTTTGTTTTATTTATATTGACTGTGTATATGTCTGTCTAACTCTACTTTAAACATGTGGAGTGTGTGTGTGTGTGTGTGTGTGTCATACCTTGCCAACAGAGGTAGAATGCTCCTGTACTTCCTCCAGGAAGTTTCCCAGTAGGCTCCAGTCGGCCATGACCGATTATAGATCAGCACAGATTTGTTTTACTTCCCAACCGATGATCTCTCAGCAGAACACAGACGCCAGACTCACCTGTGGAGCAGACGGCACACGACCTCTTTCAGAGAAAAGATTCTACCTCAAAGCTTGTTTGCATTCAATTCACTTCGAAAAAACGCTGCATGAAAATCCCCCGAAATCTGGAAAAAAGGTGCATTCGCTCAAATAAGTTTATGTTTGAACGTAACGTAAAGGTGATTTATGACACTTGGCATCCGATAAGAGACGTAGCATCACCCACTGCACCCAACTCCTATTATTTACCCCTGTTCGATCTGAACAACAGTATTGTAGTAGTATGTAGTTTTCACTAAACGTTTACATAAAGGAAACCAGAGAAGAATCTGAATCTTGATTTTGTGTGTGTGAGTGTGTGTGTGTGTCTCTTATCGTGATCCTGTGACCCTCCCTGCACCACGGCCCTGACCCCATTAATAAAAATGTCTGTGCCCACGTCTCAGTTTGGCTTCACTCTCAGTTCCCACACTCCCTCTCAGTCTGTCTCTGGGGAAGGAAAACGTAGACGTCTACTGTAAACACTGCTGCCTACCACACACACACACACACACACACACACACACACACACACACACACACACTCATATATAAATAGTACAAACAAGACTATGCGTCTGGTACTCCCAACAGTGTTCACTACACCCACCAATGAGAAGGTTAGGTCACTCATAGTGGATTTTTCAGATTAAAAGTAGAACGACACGTAGTAGATCCACCAGGTTTGGCTGCTGAGCATTAAATCCCTAATTCTAAAGATGAGCAGGTCGTTCATCTTTGATAAAAGTTGGTTTTTAGACATTTCAGTTGTTTTCCAGTCGGCTGCACTCTTCCCCTGGTCTCTCTACATCACCGACTGTCGCACCAGCCACAGTAACAGACACGTTATTGTCCTTTCAGATGACTCTTCAGTCTCCTTGAAGCGGTGGCACAGCATCACAAGTCTGTGGTTGATGAATTAGCATCTTGGTGCGATGACTCTCTTCTCCCACTGAACGTGTGTAAAATCGAAGACACAGTAATCAGCTTCAAAGTGACTCCTCGTGCTGAACTAACCACGTCTAAAGGTGCTGATGTTGATCTGGAGCAAAGACTCCGACATTGTTCCTGACAACAAACAGACGTTTTGAAGCTCACTTTGCTGCCGCGACCAAAAAAGATCCAGCGACAAACTTTGTTTTTACCCCGAGGAAAATGTGCTCTTTTAATGTCGCCTCTGAGATAATGAGAGTCTGTTTTACAGACGTTTGAGCTGAATCAGTTTTAATGTTCCGCCTCGGTGCTTGAGGTAGTAACTTGAAGTAGCACAATAGTCTGGACATGTTCTTGAACTTTTCCTCCAGGGGGTGAGAACGTCAACATTTTCCAGAACTTTTCCATGTGTGGACAAATGTTTGTTTGAGCCCACGTGAAAATACAGCACGAAAATCCACGTAAAACTCACAGCGAGCGAGTTGGCGTGTTAATGACATGTCTAACGCGTGACGGAGCCACACACACGGAAGACGACAACAAAGATTTAAGGGCTTTTGATGAAAACGGTCGTCAACGAGAAACTCCCTCAATGAAATCTTGTGTCTTTCTAACGTTGGATCATGAAGAGTTGTGTCTGAAAAGTTTAGTAACTTTCTGAAATCAACAATCCGACGTTCACATTGTGTCAAAGTTGAGAAAAGAAGATGAAGATCTACAACCCAGTCACTGTCCCTCGCCTGAATGTTCCGGATATTTTCCTGTTGTTGTGAAGATGAAAATCTACCGCTGCGTTCTTCACGTGAACGGCAAACCTCGGGAAATGTGCTGACCCAATTCTTTGGAACATTTTCTGGAGTGCATGTCTTTTTTTAACGGTTCAGAAAGGCTGCTCCCCGCTTGAGCACCAAGATAATTATTGTCCTTTTTTTAGGAGCAAGAGATAAAAAGATTTTCCTGATATTTCGATGCACAGACGTCTGACTTGACCTCTGCGATTTGATTTGAGTCTTTGATACGACTCTGACCATCGTGTCATGGATTTAACAACTTTTTTTTTTTCATCCAAACCAGTGTAAAGCTAACATGCAATAATATTATTCAGCTACATGAAACTTAACGGGTCGTAACATGCTGCGTAAGCCAGTGGAAAATGATTATACTGGTAAAGGTCAATCTTCCAGTTGACACAGTCACAATAAGCGAAACACATTTCCAGCAGAGGGTGAGTTCGTCATTTCTCAAACCACAGAGCACGTGTCACTCATCGTTTCACTGTTCCGGCCTGTAGCTTCTGTCTGTTTCATGTCCATTCCATTTATAAATAACATCATCTCGTGTTTTATCATCATCCCACCCGGTGTCAGAGGCCGCTCGGTGCAAACTGCCCCAAATTTCAGATGCTGAACTTAAAATCTGCCTTCAGGGAAAAACCACAGTTTTTAAGTTTTTTAAATCAGATCACAGATTTATTCTAAAGTATATTCCATTAAATGCCCCTCCTTTCCTGTTTTTGTAAAACCCAAAAAGCTCCGACCTCTGTGTGTGTGTATGTATGTGTGTGTGTGTGTATTTACATTGTTTTAAAGTGCTCCCAGCATCATTAATAACAATATTACTTCCTTGTATAGACTTTCACTTGACCTTTGTGTTACTGTATGTGTGTGTGTGTGTGTGTGTGTGTGTGTGTGTGTGTGCATGCATCCTGCATGTTTCTCGATTGTTGAGGACACACTTTGAATTGAAACCATCATTTTCATCAAATACTATTTTTTTCTGGGGTTGAGGTTCGGTTCGAGGCTCGTGGTCAGTGTTCAGTTTATGATGGTTAGTGTAACGGAGTGGGAACGCATCACATCAGTGTCCTCACATCTAAAGACAGACAAATGTGTGTCTCTGTGTGTGCACCCATTATCCAGCACTCAGTATTGTTCTGCATCCTGCGCTGATAACACACACACACACACACACACACACACTCACACACACACACACACTGGTGGTTTTAACATAATAAATGATTATTCGTTGACATCGCTCAGACCTCAGGATGTTTTTAATCTGATAATAAACTTTATTTATAACGTGCACTGTTACTATTTTGTCAACATCAAAAGCAGGAGAATCAAAGACTAAGACTCTTTTACACTGATTCTTCTATTGTTTTTTTATGTAATGATAACTATAATAATTCTTCTTTTACAGTGTTTGAGCTGTGAAAATGAACCTGTGATGCTCTTTATACACTTTTATAAACACAGAAATAAACGGTTTATTTTACACTATAGCCAGAAACATTGGTAAATTGATGGAAACAAAGATTAATTAATCTCCACATAGTTTTGAGGATTTTTCTAATGGAGCCTTTATTTAACTTTTTAAATCATGTGAAACTCCATCTACTTATGTGTCACCGTCTTAATTAACTGTAAATTAATTTGATTTTGAATGAAATATCTGATATTGGAGATTCATCTAATTTACGTTGAATCACAACGAGAGAATATTGGGCTGTGTCTTCCTCGTGTGTTTGCAAACTTATTTTGGGGTGAAAAGTCTCTTGGCCTGAAACCGAACCACGAGAAAACAGTGTTTTCGAAGAGGCGTCATTGTTGGGGGGATAAAATGCATAAGGATGAAAACTGAATAAAATACAATCACTTGAAATGTATGATTTTGTAAATATTTGACTTAGAATTAAAGTTTAAAAGTTAAAAACCAACTCATGAACACGTACTACACTCACTTTACCTGTTCTAGGATGCAGAGGCAGGGAGCTGCCGAGCTAATGTATAAGACAGTCGCTGCAAAGTCGGCGCTCTCGTCTTCCTCAGCAGCTGCTGTTGAAGTCCCGTTGAGCAAGGCACCTTTTCCCCTTCCACTGATCCTCAGCAGCCGGTGGCGGCAGAAGTCTGCTCCTGATGTGGCTGTAAAGACTCTTCCAGTAGTTTCGGCTGCTGTCTAGTCACCAGTTTGTGTCCAAAGCCCAACTGAGGTTGAGAGAGCTTCAGATTCTCAGCAGAGAGAAAGAGAGAGAGAGTCGAATAGACAGATGAAGGAACGGATGAGTTTGTCCAGTGAGAGAGTCAGAGACACGGTCAGATCACCAGTGAACAGACGAGAGAACAGACTGAGTCTCGGGAGATAAGACGTCTCAGACTGAAGTTTGAACCAGCCTCCTTCTCTCTCTCTCTCTCCCTCTTCCAGTCTCTCTCTCTCTCTCTCTCTCTCTTCCTCCCTCCCTAGTCTCCATCTCCAGAGGAAGTGGGCCTGGTGCCCCGCTGCCTGCCTCCTCTATTCAGCTCTCATGTATGTGCATGTATGTGTTTGTGGTGTCTGGCATCTAGAGGAAGTCAGATATTGTACTAGGACACAATGGCTGCAGGTCTGAGTCCTGCATTCCTCCATGTCACTCTATTCTTCTCCATCAATCTCTTTGTCCCTCTCTCGCTCTCCAATCAGTGACTTAACTCCATTGTGAGAACAAAGTTAAATCCACAAACAACTGTTAATACGTCCGTGTGCTGTGAGTGGATTAAAACCACCCTGTGCCAGTAAATAGCTCATTGTTTCCATCTGAATTCTAATCATCGATTAACAAACAGTGGGAAAGTTACTGTTCTATTTTTAGGAAACATTATCAAGATAATAATCATTTTAATATTATTTATCTATCTATCTATTTGTCCGGCTACTTTAGTTTTACAGGCCGGAGTGACCTTTTGCGAGACAATGAACCCTCGAGTGTGTGAGAACAGTGTGAAGCCTGTATATGTGTAGGTAGTGATAGAAAGAGAAGCACTCTAAGAATGAGTGTGTGGACGGGTGAGTGTGACCTAAAGCACTTTGAGCGCTCGATGTGATGAAGCGCTGTGTACATGCATCAGTTTACCACGTGGATACAATCTTGTTACACACAGATGACGCAATTATTGATTCATCTGTTGCCCAGCGAAGAGGAATTACAATTGTGTATATATATATATATATATGTGTATATTTCTGCCTGTGTGTTTCAAATGTCTTTGTCATGTGAGATTTCTGTTCTATTTGCAAAGGTGAAAGCTCGTCTGTTTTTACGGGAATGAGAGATAGAGCTCTGATTGGTTTGTTGCATGTGAATCAACCTCATTTACATTCAATGTCACTCAGTAGAGCTCATATCTCCAACAAGGCCCAACTGTTCCCTTCAGCTCAATCAAGCTGCACCAAATTCCAAACAAGCCCAGATATCAGATGTGAAAACATCGAAAATCGTCCTATCTGACAATCTTAAAGAGAAAAAAACAACAACTGCTGGATCCGTCCCCCTGATCCAGATCCAAGCCAAACTTTTATGGCTTCCTCGTTGACCCCTACCGCATCTTTCCACCAAGTTTCTCATTAATCTGTTTAGTTGTTCTTGTGTAATCCTGCTCACAAACAGACACACAAACATGTTGATGAAAACAAAACCTCCTTGGCTGAGACGTCAGGAGATCGGACTCATTAAGAGTCAACGTCCAAACATCTAGATCTCGTTAAACTTGCAGAAGTTTGAGTGCATTTTACCGAGCGCTTTAGATCCCGAGCTTAGATCATTGAAACCGAGCTGAGTCTGTTTCAGCAGACAGGAGTGAGAAGCAGCTCCTTTAACGTCCCGTTCTGTTCCAGAAGTCCCGCTCCTGTCCGTCTTCATCACATCTCGTCTTTACTGACACTGCAGCGAATCACACAGAGCTTTTATTGTGGGGGGAAAAAAAAGAGAAATAGATATTGATGTGAAAACAGATGTTTTCCCAGCAGCAACTTGTGTTCCAGCTTCTTTGGCTTTGAAAGTTTAATCAGTTCGATTCAATTCTGTTAATGTGAATTCGAGATCAATTAAGTGACCTCTATTTGCCTGAAACTCGTGAAGTGACATTGTCAGAGTAATAAGATCAATTTAAACTAAACTACGCAGCCCTTCATGTCGGCCCAGACCTGAGTGGTACCGCACAGTGAAGCGACACCAGCAGTGACTGCAGGATGACAGAGGGGTTATGTATTTTGACAGAATTGTGCTCCGGGCTTCTTTATCCAGCGTGAAAAATTAGTCGAGGCTGTGTGATTTTTCCAGAGACCTTGTGATAGTGTCAAATGCACTCTGGTTTCCTCCAGGCCAATATCAGTGTGTGTGTGTGTGTGTGTGTGTGTGTGTGTGTATGTGTGTGTGTGTGTGTGTGTGTGTTGTGAGGAGCAGAGTTCCCCTCATTAATGTGCTGCAGTGGTTACACCATGTGACACTTAAAAACATGGTGGTGAGCACAGCTGCACGACCACGAGCGCTTCAGTTTCCACCAAATGGACGAGAATCTGAGCTGAACCATTTCCCGTCCGGGTTTCGCAGCGACAGTGAGCGAAACGACTGCTGTGCTGCGTGCGAGGTGACGGGACGCCGTTCAGCTCCACATCACGAGGACTTTGGTGAAATTGGTGCCGAACGCTGACGTTCTCAGACAATGACCTGATGTGAGCATAATGACTCGTCTGTGGATTCAGCAGGGATAATAAAAACCCTGGTTTCTCGGAGCCATAACTTGGTTTTTTGATTTTGGTCAAAGCGTTTTTATTTTTGCAACACATGACCTTCTCATCAAAGCTGAACTTTTACACAGTGATTTGGGCTCCGCACAGAGTTTGCGTGACACCAAAGAAAGCGTTGAACAAGGCTTCAGCTTGTTCCAAACCGCTCCAGGTGATGAGAGCTTGTGCCAAATCCTCCAACACCATCACAACCAAACCTTGTTCAGAGCTGTCTGGTGAATTTTGGCGAATTTGAAAAGATTTGATTTACGAGACTTTAATTTTTCGTGTTTTTCGACTGTGATTGTGCAGATTTAACAACATTTGAGCAACAAAAACAATCTAAAGTGGGAGTCTGGTCCATTTTTGGAAGAGTTGCTTATCATTGAGATGAGTTTATACTGCATGTTCCCTTATTTCTTTAATGAGGTCTACTTCTTGACCTTGCTCTGCTGCCCTGACACTGAAGATGTCCCTGTTGTGGCACTGATGAAGAATTATCTTATCTGATCTCGGTTCTCTTTCCCATTCGTGGTCGTAATTCGATTCTGATCCATGACAAATCATTCGGTTTGATTCCTGACATTCATTGATAATAAAAACTTGTTAGGAAACCAACACTTATCTGTTAAGCATCAGATTCTCTCTGTTTTGTTTTAATTAATTACCTCGAATTTCGTTTTGAATCACTGTTTGTTTGTCTGTCAGCAGATTTTCTCAAACGTTACTGAACATATATCGGGTTGGGGCGTTACATTTGGAGCGTCCTCCTAGTAACTTTATTTTATTTGCACAGGCAAGAAAACAATAAAGATCTAACATTGTTGTGTTTGTGAGGATGTTTCAGAGGAAAAGATTTGTGTTGAAAAATCATTTTATGTTTCTATAAACATTAGTGAATAAAAACTAAAATATGTCTTCTCTTACTGAGTCATATGTAATAGATTGATTTCGGTAAATTGAAACTCAAACAATATACAATACATTAATATATATATATATATATATACTATTAATAATAATAACGTTAGCCAAAGTCTACTGGTGTTATTGTATTATATAATAATGCAGTAATGGATTTTCACAGCAGCTTCTGTTCAACGCAGCTGAAAAAAGACTTTAACTATTTCATCTGTTACGTATCTGGAGTAACTCACCATGGAGCAATGGGAGTTTTCATTTTTTATATACTATTAAAGTGTCACAGTTTTCAGACTCTGCCTCAGGGAGTCATTTTTATCAAAGGTTAATTTTACATGTTTCACTCTCACATGTTATATCAAGATACTTTGTGCTGTGCTGGACTTGAAGGGGATTTTTCCAAGCGAGACATCTAAAGTCTCACTTTTCTTGTTAAATTTATATCTTAAAGAATTTGAAGACGTTTATACAGATTTTATTCAATTATAATCATTAAGACGCAACCAAATTATAAAGGAAACATTTTTTTTCTCAACGAAATCCATCGTGTAAACAATATTTAAAAGTATAATGAGTTAGAAACATGTCATCTTGTGCTTTGAGTCGCGTCTTGTGATTGACTGAGAGATGCAGAAACCTCTGACCTCCTGTGAAGAGTGTTTTAAAATGTAGGTTTAATACTTGTGAACTTATTTATAAATCACATGAGCTGTTAAATTTCCACAGAGCACGTTAAAGGTCAACTGTAAACCATCTATACAGGATGTGAGAATAAACCAGTGTCTGGAAGTCATATGACAAAGGACGCAGATTCCTCCAACACAAATAGAGCCTCAGTGTGGTAGAGTTTTCAGACAGGCTTTATTTTGTCGTATGTTCAAATTTAAATGAATAAAATAAGTTTAAATGCAGTAATACTGAACGACAATGTGATTTTATATAATGGTAAAGTGCATCGACTTTGCTTTAATTATTAATTATTCACAACCCAGATCCCTTTAATGTAACCATTACATTTGAAGGTGTTTTTAGGTCAAGATGAGGATCAGCCGAGTAGTAACTATGGCTCAGGTTAGAATAAGTCTCGTTCTTAAAGATGGAGCTCAAAGTCGGAGTGTAACAAGTGTGTGTGCACTCGTGGAAACTGGGTCTGAAGTCACACACATTCAGATACATCAACACACACACACCCTCATGTGTTTTTACTTGTGACATGTTTATTTCAGGAGAGCGTGAGGTAGAGGAGGATGTTTGAGAAGGAGGAGGAGGAGGAGAAGAAGAGGACGACAAGAGGAGCGGAGGTTTAATAAGGTTTATATACAAAAACAATAAATAAATAAATAAATGTACAGTCCAGTACATGAGAACATCAGAATCACTGCAGTACGCAGACGTTACGCAGAAAAAACTAAAGTGGAAATTTAATTGATTGATTGATTGATTGGTCAAAAAGACACATCCAATCATCAATAAGGTCTCCACACAGGCTCATCTCCTCTAATTGAAAGACACGCCCCTTCGATGTGATTGGTCAGTGCTGCGACCACGTTCCTGTCCTCCCCCGCGGTTGGCAGAGGATGGTTCGGCCCGTAGCAGAAACCTCCGGGCTGGAATGCGCCACTGTGGCTGAGCTGGGGGGGGGGAGGCGGAGGAGGAGAGGACAGGTAGGAGCTGTACGGAGGAGGCTGGCTGGAGAAGTGGAGGCCAGGGAGGGGGTGCATTCTGGGACTTGGGTTAAAGGAGGAGGTCAGAGAGGTCATGTGGCCCAAGAACGACGGCTCATTGGTCCACAGAGCGGAGGAGAAGGATCTGCAGTCAGCTGAGAGAAAGAAACTTTCTGTCAATGCTCGGTTTTTTACACATTAATTTTTAATTATTTTATTTTAGTTTTAAACCTGTTCAGCTCTCTGGTCAGTCGTGGTGGTTTTTTAACTTTTAAACAAACCTGACAACTGTAGAGGATAATAAATCCTAACACAGAAAACTGAGTGTGTATGATACTAATGTTATTTTGTGTTTTTATATTTTAAACCCTTTAAGTGAAAGTTAATACTGACGTGGTTTGTTGAGGAAACAAATCCAGTCTTTAACAACTATCTTCACACGTGGATCACATCTCCACGCCTCTCGTACCTGAGGGAGCTGTGCTGCTGTGAGAAGACCTGAACGCCCCGGACCTCACCTCCTTCTGTCTCTGACCTGAGAGAGAAGAAGAGCATGAGTCCGACTGAAAGCCTGGAAAGAAAACATCACGACCTCTGGTGTCGACTCACGTCTCGGCAGTCGCGGTCCATCCACAGTGACCTTGATGGCTCTGTGCAGGGTGGCGATCTGGGGGGGCGACGTCAGCACGTTGATGGAGAGGTTGAAACTCTTACCTGGAAAAAAAAAAACAACCACATTTTATAAAAGAAGAAATTATAGAGACATCAATTTAAAGTCAACAACAAATATGAGTTAGTAGAACTCAAAGTGCAGGTTAGAAAACACAAGTTCTGTGTGAAGGAGGATTTGATGTCATCTCAGGCCTCACGTGTATAAATATTGTAGTATAATATAACATAATATATTAACGTTGTACAGTATCTGTCTCGTGTACCTCTCCCGCTGCGGCCTATGAAGCGGAGGTCGTTGAACTGGGCACAGCCTTGCTTCATGGTTGCCGTGGCGTTGCGTAGCTCAGCGCTGCTGTTGTCTTCGTTGCCGGCCATTACCGTGACAACCACGCCATCTGGCACGTCGTTGCCCAGGGCAACCACCTGGAAGAAGGAGAGAGTTTTTTGGGTCGGTCCTCATGGCAGAAGACATTTGCTGGACAGATGGACGGGTGGTGACGTGAGTGATTGGTTACAGTGAAGGTTCTTGGCAGGGTCTTGTTGCACCTCCAGTGCTGCGGGACGCTGCTGCAGAGGAAGTTAGGGCTGTCAGTCTGTACCAGGCCTCTGGGGGGCGCTGTGCTGTGCTGCTGGAGGGACCGCACGTCCTGGTCGTCCAGGGGCGATGGTGCCGGCCGACGCTTCACCACAGGATCTGATGGATTTAAAAAACACCAGGAATTATATTTATACCTTTATAAATATCAT